AAACATTCTATTATAGAAAGAAATAAATTAACACATGAAGTAATAAACAAGAAACACTTACAAGTAAGGAAGGACAGAATTTGTACTCACAGGAAGGTGTATACACACGACTTTTAGAAATTTAGAATATTTAGACTAGCTGATTAGCACAATTATCTGTACATTAAGAATATGCTGAACGTTTAAAATCACAGTACGGACAAAATCTTTCGAACACGTGAAAAAGGCGCTGGTGAGGTTGAGCGAAAGAAGGGGTGGAGCGACTAAACTTGCTCGTCTGCATCTCCCATCGAAAAAGTGATCCACTCTTTCCCTAGTCTAGGAGGACGCAGATGACCTAGTCGGGGCAAACCACTCTTGCCTCCCCCAACTGCACTATCGCCTAAAAGAATCTTTATATTGTGCAACATTGGATTCCTTTGAACGAATTGAGAAACGAGAAAAAACACTACATGAAGAAAACAACATTACACCTGAACCTAAAGACACATGTTGACACCATAAATATAGTAGCACTGTAGAACATTACTTGTAGAATGATCACGGTAATTCATCACAGCAAAGCACAACCCATTAATCATGCTTTTTGCTCAATTTCTTCGGGCTTATATCAAGGTGCACTTTAGGGCGAGCGCGCATCTGAATACATACAGTTAAGAGCAGACCTGATACAAAATAATTAGAAGCTTTGCTCAGAAAAAAAAACATTTTACCACTAGAGGAACTAAAACTACGTTCGGAAGAAAAGCGTGTGAAAATCTGACCAGATTTTTGAGCAGACTGGTAGCAAAGGGTAAAAGTGCCCACAACTGTGTAACCCCTTTACGAACCAGATGCAATCCCTGCTTCCCTAGCTGGTTTTCATGTTATCGAATGCCAAGTCCCACATAGCGGCTAACCGTGAATAGTGGTGGGTTGAGATGGTCATCCGGAATAAGCTCTACGCTATTCGAAGCAGCTTTACGCCTGAACTTCGGGCTGTGTGGGTATGCCCTCGCGAATGTACCTTGCACCCTTGTTCCTGCAGGTGTAGCCTTGTTCGCTGCAGATGCTGAGGCGTGTCAGCGTACCAGCCAGTTCTCCACCAATTATTGAAGTGGGTAAGTGACGACAATGGGTGGAAAACCAGCTGGCGGTGCACCAAATCCAGTTCCCCTGTTTAGCCCCAGCAGAAGCAGCTAACAAAACTATTTGAAAAAGTTACTATTTCTGAGCACTTAGTTATTCACCAGCCGTCTGTACGACAAGCTACACCGTGAGTCATTGGCTTTTCCCATGCGGCAAAATTTCCCCAGATTTTGGTAACTCCAACCCGTCCGGAATACGTGCTTCAGCACATCTCTGTTCATACTCCACCATCTACTCTAAGCATAGACTCCTTCCCTACATATGCAGCTTTCAAGACATACCACCTATCCCAAAACACAACCCACTACCAAGGGAAAAACTTTTGACACGGCCGTGAAATCATCCAGAGGACAGAGAGGGAGTTTCTTATCTCTATAGAAAGTCCGTCGGCGGAAACTGATGGAAGAAATAAATGAAAAACCTCTCTTTTGATTGTAGACGAGCTCGCCTCTTCTGATGCGGCATGACTGCTGGCGAGATACCCCAAAATATGCTGACGAGCAATTTCGCATCGTCTTGAAGACGTTGAGAACACTTCTATAGGGAACTCCCCATTTTCTTTTCTTTCGGTATGCAGCTAAAAAAAGACCACATCAATGTAAAGATTCCGCTGGAATTTGCACGAAAAAAAGCCGCATTTTCTCTCTCTCATAGACTTGAAGGTTAATCTCAACAATCCTCGTCATATTTTCCGAAAAAGACTGAGATGCTACCCTACTTTGGGCGGCGTTATTTTCGACTAGAAAGAAACGATATTTCGGAAGAATGCTCCGAGAGGAAAGTAAGGGTACCCGATCTTACGTGGAGAGAGAATCGGTGTTTGGAGCAAAAAGGAAAGTATTGAGTTGGCCATAAGTAATGGCGTTTTTTTTCAACTGGAAATTTTGTTCAAAAAGTGAAACGTTTTGCGAGCAAGTTTGATATCATCTGATAGGAAACTTCTCGTACTATAAGAATATTGAAACAGCTTCGGGTGAGGAAATGATTTTTGTTTTTTAGTCGTTGAAGTTGAAAGTTGAGTCGGCGAAAATTAGTACCTTCGACAGCTGCCTCTATTTACGTCTATTCGAAGTGCTAAAATCGCTTAAGCTGCTCCATACATTTGCAATAGGTTGAGCTAGAAGTCCCAGCGAGGGAATCCTCATAGGACGCTTTCGGAACTAATTTCAAGAATTTCGAAGTTGGCAACCTTCACCTCGCAGATAATGGGCAGGATCACAAGTCATCGCGTCTGTTCCACTTGAAATTTTATGGTAATAGTTGAATGTTTCGCTAATGTGTTTTGTATGCTCTGATAGCAAATTTCGTGCTCTATAACACTGCAATGGAAATCTGTTTTCCATAGCTGTTTACTTTCTGTTAATTTCAGGTTATTAATACGGAATGTCAGGTCGATGAGAATCAGCATTCCCGACTTCTTCTCCCTACCGCTTTCCACGGAAGCTTCAAAGCCCCTGGAGCAGCTCAATAGGTAAAGGTATGGTTTGAGTAAAGCAGTAACAGATTAATATTAGGACGGCTCACAATTGATTTTGAGAAAAGCAAAACCGACAACGCTGACCTTGCAGACATCCGGTCGACCCATACCTCACGATTTTTTTTTTTTCCTTATTAAATTTCAACACAGTATTTACAACACTATAAAAAATATAGATGTTTACAATAAACTAGTCAATAATATATTCTCCATTGTTTCTTACAACCTCCTCCCACCGATCAGCCAGCTCAGTCAGTCACCGAGAAGGCATTGAAAAGAGCACGAAATTTGCTATCAGAGCATACAAAACACATTAGCGAAACATTCAACTATTAGCATAAAATTTCAAGTGGAACAGACGCGATGACTTGTGATCCTGCCCATTATCTGCGAGGTGAAGGTTGCCAACTTCGAAATTCTTGAAATTAGTTCCGAAGCGTCCTATGAGGATTCCCTCGCTGGGACTTCTAGCTCAACCTATTGCAAATGTATGGAGCAGCTTAAGCGATTTTAGCACTTCGAATAGACGTAAATAGAGGCAGCTGTCGAAGGTACTAATTTTCGCCGACTCAACTTTCAACTACTAAAAAACTTACAAAAATCATTTCCTCACCCAAAGCTTTTTTCAATATTCTTATAGTACGAGAAGTTTCCTATCAGATGATATCAAACTTGCTCGCAAAACTTTCACTTTTTGAACAAAATTTCCAGTTGAAAAAAACGCCATTACTTATGGGCCAACCCAATATTATTGGCGACCTTTCACTAGAATGGAAGAATCGAAGTTGTAGAGACAATGGGAGGATAGGAGAGTAGCAGACTGTTAGAGCAAAGGTACAAAACAGCGACGTCCTGTGAAGGGTTCAGTCACAGATGTCTCTATTTTACGACGCCTAATCCAGCCGTCTGCCAATCTCCTACTCTCCCACTCTCCACAATGGCAATTGTTTTATTATCGTCAAATGGTGAATCCATACCTATAAATTCCTTGTCTCTCGATGCGCCTATTCTCCCTAGTCGCAAAGGTATGAACACAGCCTTACTAAACTGTCGTAAGAAGTACTTAAATGACGACAACTATCCAATTGATAATGCCATTTATAGCAACTGAGTGGCTTTGGTTTCTTATGTTGAAACAAGATCTGGCAACGAACACTACACTAGGGCTCGTTCGCAGGGAATTCGTTTCCTCCCACTTCTTCTCAGTCCCAACTAAGACCCCGAGGAGAATGAAATAGAAAAAAAATGGAATGAATTCAGTATCAAGACCTTCATGAATGAACATCTTGCCCAACCCCCTCTCAAATCAGCTGGATAACTAAAGCAATACAATCCCATCAATTACTGAACTAGTCGCGCGTTTCAAGTGCGGCTGCTTACGACGCGGTACCGAAAAGTCGTCCGCCCGACGTGAACTGCCGGCAAAAGAACATTACTGTATTATACCTTCGTATTATTCGTATTCTAAACCACTTTTGTCGCATACGCATTCAACAAAAAGGTGAGAACTAGCTAAAACATGCGCGACATCATACTGCGACACGCCCCGACAAACCGATGCTTAGGAACAGTACAACAATACACATGAATGCCGCATTGTAAAAAAAAACAAACAAAGCGCCTACCCGAAAATGCTCTACAAACTGGAGGGAGGCCGAGGAGGCTAGCCACTTAGGACTTGTCAGAAAACAGGAATGAGGTTTCCCGTTTCCAGTGTGGAACGGACTGGCTAACTTCAAAAATCTACAGTGAATCTTCCCATTCCATAGTCCGTAAGTCTATAACGCCACTTTCAATCTCATTATTAATCGGTGTGCCGCAACTATTTTCCCAATGCCTCCTTAATTTCACGTCTCGCAAAACCAGAAACATTTCATAAGGGGAGCATTGCAAATAAAATACAATGCACACCGATTAACAATGGTGAAAGTGGTGATGAGGCTAATCCATCTACGGGACTGAGCATTGTGTGGAATGGGGAGATTCGTGACGATCTGAAGATCAGTCCAGATCCATTCTACACTCTAAACACGCAGAATCATCAATCTCATTCTTCTGCCAAAACCCTCCTGAATTGGCTACCTCCTATCTTCTTTGCAACCAAATTTTGCAAAGTGTTTTCAATAGGATGTTTTGTTGTTTTTATTTACCAATGCGCACCACCTGTATGTTGCTTCCTTCAGTTTTCAGTTGATCTGAAGAGGAGCTTAAGAGTGATTATTAAGAGTTTTGAAAGGGGCTTTTGTTGCTTGTCAGGCAACATCAGAAAAGGAAATGTGCTCCACAGGTTCCTTATGAAAGAAAGTTCAAAGAGGCAAAAGGGCACAGGAAACTGTAGAAGACCTCTCCCTTCCCCTGGCATTTAACCCTTGAGTATAACTGATACAAAAGTGAATCATTTCATCATAGAACCTACCACAATTGTGCAACCAGTAATCTGTTCGATACGTCGTTTGTTGGTGCCACGTGTCCCAATGAGTCGTGGGGCATCTGCTAGTTTGACAAAGAACTTTATACTTTTTCGTTGTTGCTCCTCGATAATTGTTTTATGTTGATCGTCAACAACAACAGCTGCCGAAGGTGTTGATGATTCCGATCCAGGTGACAAATGGCTTGACGCATTCGCTACCGAATTATACGAGCACGACTGGTTGATGGAATTCCCTCGGCCACTCTAAACCAGCTACTGAGCGTTAGTACCATCGAGACAGCCATAAAAAGATTTTACTCACCGTCGATGACTGAGAATTGGTGTGTTCAGTCGTCTGTAGATCTGTCACTGTTGAAAGTGGCGGGGGTGGACGGGAAGTATCTGGATTCTGATAAAACAAACAATAGGTCTTCAAGTTTCGAGCAAGGAAAAAAGGCAGATTTCGGTTTGGTTGGGGCACCGAATGGTATTTGACGAGCCTTGCACAGGCGGATTCGTGAGAACTTGTAAATTCGTGTGACTAAAGTAGGTCAGTCCCGCTATTCCGCAGCCTCACAGGAGTTTACAGGTAACACCAAAACGATACCTGTTATTTGACTTGAACTAACAGAAGAACGAAGGTAACGAAAGTGCCCCTCTAAACCGACCAGTGCACGAAAAGGTATTTTTCAAAGATTTCTGGTCTGCGAAAAGGTGCGACGGTTGATATCACTACACTTAATCATATTCAATCCTGAATCTTGACTGACTGTTAAGAGCTTGAAAATGTGGCGGTACCGTGGTGTGAAAGTACCACGGTACCGCCACATTTTCACCACCTCAGCCAGAGTTCATATGTGCAATCCAATGCTAGGACTTGTCAGCGGGGGGGGGGGAGAGTGGGTTTGGCGCCACGCCAGTCCGTTCTCCACCAACTGAAGTGAGCAAGCGACTATGAAAATAGGCTGGTGTTGCACCAACCGAGCCTCCTGCCACGCCCAGCAACCTCAGCGAACAAGACTGCATGCTGCGCCCACGGATTGGCAAATCAACGTCATCACGTGAAAATTATACAGAAGATACGACGAGAATCACCCATTCTTCATTTCCCATTCTCTTGTCCGACGTTAGAGTGTCATTGGCAGCCTCTCGAAGCTGGTTGTTGTCTAAAATTGAGTAAAAAGTAAGTTACTTTCGAATACTTCGCAAATGAAGACACAGCATACAGCCATCTCCGAGGACGGTCCTTGGCATGCGTGAGAAGAATGGGTAGACGTCTGAACAGGTGTGCACTCCATCAGTTAGAGCGGAAATGGGGCCGAAAGGTAGTGATAGGCGAGTGTCATTCAGAACTCTGCCCGCGCTATCCTCAAGAAGCAGCACTTGCGTCGATACCAATTTCCGAAAACGAAACGCAGCCAACGGCAGAGAACAAGCAGAAGCGAGAGGGCGCAGACAAGCAGCGCGTTTGACTATGGTTAGGCGAGTAACTGGCAGGTGTGGCAGCGCGGGCGGAATTCTGAAAGGCACTTGGGTATTATACCCTTCGGTCCCGTTTTCGTCCATCTTTGAGCGACGAAAATGGCAGGCTACGCGCAGCTAGACCCATTCACATCCCACATGGCAAGGACCAAGATTCACGAAGGTGATTGTGCAGTTGGCACTCGGAACCTTTCTAAGAGACGGAGTTACATATGTAGAACAACAGGATTACTTGGATCCCGAGCAACTCTGAGTGCTGACGGAGGCCTTGTTCCCGGTTCGCCCAGACCTTGCTCAAGGAACATTCTCTTGATTGCCATGTGCCCTTCTATCACACTTTCTACGCAGCCATATAAACACACACGGCCTCCATGATCCATCTGCAAAACACTAGCAGCACAATTCAGAGTAAAAACACCTAGAAAACGCATAAAAACTTTGGATTTTCGAAAGTAAACAAGCAGAGAAATATCGATGGAAAGGGCGGAGGTGGTGCAGTGGCAAGCGACTCGGTCCCGAGATCAGCTTCCGCTCGGCCTACCAAAGCCCTCCTCGAGCTAGTAAACTGGAACCAGGCTCGTCTAAGGTTACGTGGAAGCTATAACTTTGATGGGGGGGGTCCCCTATGAAAGGCCTGAGCGCAGAGAAACAGACAACTGCGGATGCAAAGTATTGAGAGGAGCGAACATGTTGCGAGCTAGGGGATGATTTTTTTTGTAGAGGGAGGACACCAAAGGATGAGTCACATCTTGTGCGGGAAAAGTTGGAATAAGAAAAGTCAGAATGGTTACAAAACGCCAAAAGGCGTTTTGTGACCATTCTGACCTTTCACGGCGGTGAGAAAAGCAGAAAATTGCCGCCATTGAAGGGATTGAGTTTTAGATGTCTGTAGACCCTCCTAGGAAGAGGGGAACACTGATTTTCACATCTACTGGCCTCCGCATGCAACTATACACACCTACATTGCATTCAAAGAGCCTGGAAGTTGAAAGGGTGCCGCACCGCGAAAAGTGACTGATCAACTCTAAGGTTTTTGCTAGGAAATCGTCATCAATGTAAGGTAACAACGGGAACTTACAAAAATGTCACAAAGACCAGCACTTCTCAGAATTGCCAATTTAGTTTCGTGGAGTAGAGCGTATTGTACTGCAGTAAGATAGAGTTCTTGTGATGCTGTACAACGTAAATTAAGGGCCGAAAGTCGTAGGCACCTCAAAAACAAAAATAAAAATGCAGAAAACCGTGCACGTCGGTTATCAGCGTGACGTTAGATTTGATAAAAAAATTATGGAAACAATCACAGGCAAGCATTACGGTGTAGACCAGTTCGCGATAGCCGCATGGGCGGGTTAGATTGAGGGAACGCTCGGAATGCTCAAAACGCTGTCACTCCTCCCAAAACGTTAGATCGACACCTGTACCCATCTTTCCAAACCAAACACTCAAGAAGAGGACGAAAAGTATGAACGCAGCTTCATTGCGGGTTGTGCTTTCCATGCAAAATTGCGTGAAGCGCGAAGCGTACACGAGAAACAAATAAATTCAAACTAAAGGAGCAAAAACTTACTTGCTGAATTCAACATCATGATACAGTTTTCTCAGTGACATCTCTATAGGCTTCACAGG